ATAACGCGTAACGAACCACTTGTTGAGAAGGAGAGAAATGAGAAACGTCGGAGTCGCCTCGATCGATTCGGAGTTTCGTCGGATTATCGAACCGTCGAAATTAAAGGAGACGAGAAGAAGGGATCATTGGCAAATGATGGCAATTTAGAATATTTGAAAATGAGTGGCGGCAAGATAAAAATAAATAAACCGAGACTCCGCTCGTATCGAGAATTTCGTGGTCGAGCACGCGCGACAGGAAAACGCTTTCAGTCTCCCGAGCGTTTCATTTCCTCTAATTGCCAGAAGAGTTAGAACGTGGCCTCCTTTGAACTTGTTCAACCGATCCGCTGCTTCTCCGGGGGACTTAAAATGTACATTTCATTTAAATCGAAGTGCACGGAGCCCACTGGACGACAAACAGCGATATACGCGCGTAATTAAGTCTTTAAAGGGCAGAACTTTTCAAATGCGGAACGAATATTTCTTGTATCGAATAGAAATAAATACGAGTTTGGAAATAATTGATTATTTTCTACTTTTCAAATTTTACTTATCATTCACGACTTTCGAAACGCTTAAACGATTGAGATTATTAACGACATTAATTTCGGTTTCATTTATTAAGGAATAAAATGTCTAATGTGAAAGTTGAATATTGAAAATATTTAATATACAACGTTTCGACTCAACATTAATTGCAATACAAATTAAACGTCCACTATACAGATTATGGTGATCGAAAAATGTTTCTTAAATGTCCCTGGAAGCAGTATCCGACGCAATCAAATTAGTTCAACGCGTCTTCCACTGCAGTTGTCGTCGATTTAAACGAAACTTCCGTCCGGTTAATTCAATAAATTTTATCGGCGGTTCAGCGAAAGTTCCACGGAACTTGCCGCGAAAAGAGAAACTTTCTGCTTGATGTAGCGTTGTTGAATCGTTGCGTGAATCATTTACGAGAAAATAGATTACCGGCAAGACACTTTTAAGTCGACGTGATTGAAAAACGCGCGCAACTTCGGGAACAGGAGTTTACCGTTCCTTAAAAGGCTCCGAGGGGCAATATTTTATTGTTGTAGATAGAGGACAACCCTTTCTAAATGGAAAACCGTTAATAGTCTTTACCTTTACCCAGGAATAAAGATGTCGATCCTTGAAGTAGACTTTTCCCCGGGAAATCGATGAAATTAATTAATAAGATTAAAAAGTATTAAATCCTTTCATTTAAAACGTTGCACGGTCTACAAAAGACGTTCCGCAAGAATAATGGATAACAGAATCCTATTACATCTTCCTATTACCTTCCATTAATAAAATTCTTCGCTGAGAAAGCAAGTTCTTGATTACGACCTCTTTCCGAAAATAAATCAACAGATTCGAGTAGGTGATCGGTCAAACATGAAATTAAGTGCAACGAGATGCGAGCACCGTCCGAAACAGTTATAAATCGGTTACGCCGGCGCCGCGAACAATGTCATTTAAGTTTAGAAAACTGCCGAAACGTTATTTTCGCGGAAAAACTGCGAACTATTGCGGCTTGAAGCGGCCCCGGGGGTGCTGCGCGGAAGAAAATCGAAGGAAACGGGGAAGCAACGCCTCGAGAGGAAGGAGTCGGGGGCCAGCGGGGATATCCGACTGATTTTATCACACTTCCTGGAAGCTTAAACGGAGTTGATGCGAGAAACGACATTTTTGTTAGCGACGAAAGTAGAATTGATCTTGTCAGCCGGACAGAGAGCGAGAAATCCTTTTGCGCTCCTTTTGTTCGCCAGCCTCTATAATTCCACCGAGAGCGGAGTTCCCCGCGCCAGACATTCTCAATAAAACAACGTATTAGGAGCAATATTATTACGCCCCGATACGTGTCGATCTGATTCTATCGGGGCAGAATAAAAATTTCATAACCGCAATCTGTTCGAATGAACGGCTGGGATAGAGTTTATCGGTCGAAACGAGCTCCTTGTTTAATAACTTAGTTGCAAGAGCTGGTATTCCGATCATATTATATCCCGTTCGCAACGTTAAATTATTTGTTCGAATAACATTGATGTAGCGAAAGCTTAATAAAAACCCGATACAGATTTCCTGTAGCTATTATGAATGAATACACGAGACGGGATAAATGAAAAACAATGAAATTATTAAAAATCGGTGCTTCGTTTCAGCGGCAGCGCGAGTAAGGTTTGTAAAAATATGAGATGCGAATAAAAATCTGCGGATTGGTCACTGTTGATTATATTATCGTGCGATGGAACGAGTTTACAAGGAAGTTTAATTAATCTGTTTGATTGCAAACTTCTGTCTGCATTCATTCCGTTCATATCTGTTTATTATTAAACCGACACAAGTTTACAAATCAAATGCAGATCGTATCAGCGGGGGACCGGAATTGCCAGGAGACAATGGGTCTCGCGGAGACCTCATTCCAGAAAGTTAATGGAATATTCTCCTTGTCAAACCTGGGACCGCGCGTTCCTTCGTTCCCATTTATGCGCCAACAAGTAAATTTGAGCCTGCATTTCGCGTCTCAACGAGTGCACCGCGCGAACGTGCATTTATACGCCATCGATGAAACGGATTAACCGATTCATGCGAGACTCATTGTCAACGAGGAGTTTTCCATCGAGGTACAGTCGAACTGTTTAAATAAACGTCCAATCCCCGGATTGCGAATCGCTGAATGCAACAGAACGCTGAATAGAAAGCGGTATTATTACAGAAAAGTATGTTACCCCGTCATTACTATAAATTCAAGGTATTCCAGCACCCTTTGAATACGCGCCACGATGAATTATGGATCGCGAATTATTATCTTTCGCCCGAAGCACCCGCCGTCAGCGGGAACAATGAAAGATTACACGTGAACGGGAACGTGCAATTGAACAGAGATCTGTGACGAGTAATTTCTCGCGTGTAAACAATCCACCGGTAAACAGATACCCAACGCGAACGTATCGGGGACGACTTATCAATCGCTCGAAAACGAAGAATCGAACTTGAACGAGTATTCGAACGACCCTACCGACGTTTCTACTCGAAAAACCAAATGAACTCTCGTCCCCTCTGATCCGGCCGATTAAATTCCCGATCCCGAGGAAACCGAAGCCAACGGTTCAGATACACTCGTCAATATTCGAGCGAGTAAGAAAGCCCAGCCGAGCGTCGGATCGGCGACGAGAGCCAATCTAAAAATTTCACGCCCCGGGAACGGCGTCAATTATACAAAACCGTGGGGAATTGAATTAAGAAACGTCCCAGCCCACTTCCCCGGACGAGAGAAAGAGATTTAATTCAATCCACGGGGAACTGGTCTTATCTCGATGCGGGATAACGTTCGCCGGTGTTTCGAAGGTAAGCTGTTCGGGGCTTTATCCTTCTCGAGCGGGTTCGGGGGTGTGAACTGTTACCATTCTAATACATTTTTTCGCCTTCCCTGATCCTCGAGGAGGCGGCTGCTGGCGGATCCTGATAAAATTTCGCCCCCTTTCTCCCTTCGTTTCCGTCGCGATCGCCCGCAACGGCGGATCGTTTCTTCAATTTCGTCAGAGACTTTGGACTCCCAGGGCTCCGAGGACCCTCAGATTTAATCAACGTCCTCCTCGGGGCTCGTATAAATTTCCTAATGGACAGCGGACTCCGGGAACGCGAACTCCCTAGCGGCGGGCCGCATAAAATCCCCCGTTCCCGATGAACGATATCCGCTCCTAGGGAAACGGTCTCACGCTTTATGAAACACCTCGCGGACCGACGACCGTGATTTCCAACGGAATTTCCTTCGCTCGGGGGTCCCGAACACGGGACTCGCATTTGCGAACCTTCTCGCGGCGATCTCCGACGCTGAACACTGGGACTGTATTCGATCGTTATTAAGGAACGGTTCGTCGGAATCAAGGTAACGCGATCCGAGTGACGCGGTGATAGAATTGTTAGATTTTTCGGTTGATCGTTGTAGTAATTGGTTTGTGAAAACGGATCAGGTTTATTGCTTGTTCCAAGATTTTTAATGTAATTACTGTTAAGTGAAAATTGTTCGCGAATGTATTATCGTGGATGAAACTTAGACATAGGAAGGTATTAAATTTTCCACGAGAAAATAAAAGCTGTGGAATTACTGAAGTAATTAGTTTTCATGCTATACGAGCATTCTGCTTGTAATTGATTTTTACTACGATTGTAAAATAGGGATTGATTCCGGGTATGATTGAACAATGTAATGAGGATGGCGATGATCCGGTCTCCGGTTTTCGTAAAAAATGAATGAAACTCGACGTGGCAGTCATTAAACGGCCGGATTCGCGATTGCTCGAAGACCGAGGGGTACGCTGAACAAGATGTCACCCCGGGCGTGCGCGAAGGAGATGATGACGTCGAGTGTGACGACGAGGAAATCCGGAGGAATGTTTATGAAGTGTATAAAACCGACGGATGCGGCCTGGGCTATGCATAAAGCGACGCGAAGGAAGCAGAGTTATGAGGTTACATTTTCATTTCGCCAACAAATTTACCCCTAAATCGCGGCTGCCAGTTCCCCGCAGGAACAAATTAATCCTTCACCGTTGCCGCCACCAGCCCTCTTTATTATCGCCGGCGAGAGGAGGAAAATGTGGCATGCCGACCGTGGAAAATTGCATTTCCCCGAAACAGAATATATTCGCTTGGAAATCTCGATTCGAACATTCTTTAACCTCTCGTGCCACGAAAATACTTCGGGGATACCACTTTTCACGGCATGTTACCGTGAACCAATTCAATTAAATTTAATGGACGAAATTATAAAATTTCCTGAATGAAACTGAACCGAATTGCAACGTTCAGGTTAAGCAGATGTGTTTCCCCGTTAATTATTCAATTTGAAAATGTTTATCTTAATTTCCGCAACACTTCACGTGCCTTGATGTATTCAAAATGAAAATACGCATAATTCGGATAAAGGTGGAGACTACTTAGTTCGGGATATGAAAGATAAAACAATAGGCCCAATTAAATACGATATGTACTTTTAATGATCCTGTCGAGAAACGAACGTAATATTCATTCGGTATATTCGGAGCGCAGCACTCGTGGTAGCTTAATAAAGGAAAAATTACAGACCGAATATTCTCATGTTCAATCAGATACTCTTCACGTAACGCGCAGGAATCGAATTATTCAGCAGAGAGATAATACTACCGAATGAAGGAGTCGGATTGCAGTAATTTATAATTAGCACACGTTGGAATTCGATATGGGATCCTATTCCTTATCAGATTTCAACCTGATTTTCTATCGCTGGTAAAATTGATTGAGCGCTAATTAGAAGGATAATTGATAGTGAAAATAGAGGCCATCGAACGAAGCCTTAAACGAAGGTAATACTAAACTCGCGGTTGGGAATCTCGGCTATAAAAATATTCAATGAATCGTTACATGAATTACGCGCTGAAAATACCTATAACATCGTTTATTCATGCCTGATGATACTATAACATTTCCATTACACTTCTTAACACTTCAAATATACAGGTCACAAGCGGTATTTCCAGAAAGAATAATTTTACTCTCTCCAACTCCAAAATCGCCTTTCTTATTATAAAAATTGCAACCGCGACACCAGTCACTCTATCTTAAAAGAAACTCGACGCTTAAACGTTCTTGACAGCATCGCGTTAATTATAAACACATGTGACTCTCAATACCCAGACTTGCTTCTAGCTAAATGTCACAGTTCGCAATCGTTAATACTGCGGAGGAATGAAAAACTGTCTAGTTCCAGGAGGAAACACGCTCGTTGAGGTTCCGGGCTAGGTTTCAGCGTGTTTGATACGTCGATTTTTATCGGTCGTGATCTCCGCATTCTCGGCGTCAAACTCGCTCGACTTTCTATCGAAGGCACTCTCTACCTCCTGCAGGGTCTTGTCCTTTGTTTCCGGCAGCGTCAGGTACAGGAACCCCGTCCCGAGTACCGTTATAACACCGTAAATTGCGAAAGTTCCGTGCGGCTGCAACGCTACAAACATCGCCGGCGCGATTTTCACAACCACAAAAAAGAACGCGAACGCCAGACCGGAAGTGATCCCGGACCCGGGGCCCCTGAATTTCCTGGGGAACAGTTCCCCGCAGAGTATCCACGGCAGAGGTGCCAGGCCAATCGTCAGGAACACGATATAGAGCACTAGCAAGAAACCAGGCCACCAAGGTCTGCAGATATTCAGATACAAAGAAAGACTCAATAGAAACAAAGAGGAAGCTGTTCCACATCCGGACAACAAGGTCAGAGTCCTCCTGTTACATATTCTGATCAAATAGCAACCAACACTGCACGTAATTAACCGAATCACATCGATGATCATGGTGCCTAAATAAGCGTACTCCGGTCCAGTCACTTCCATCAGCATGTCAACGGAGTAGAAGACGACAACGTTGAACCCCGAGAATTGGGAGGTGAAGAAGAACACGGTCAAGACACCTAGGGGCCACAGAAAGCGTCTAGAAGACAGCGTCCTCTTCAGTTTCGAGTAAACCGAACGTTTCGCAGGTGTTCTTCTAGAGTTCTTCGAGTTCTGCAGAGCCTGATACTCGCTCAGCGTTCCCCATCCCCGAAGGTACACCCAGGACTGAAGCGCCTGGTCCGTCGAGCCTTTGCTGATCAGCCACGTGGGACTTTCCCGAGACATGAAGCAAGTCAACCAGCTGATAAACACGAAGGTTGTGCAGATATGCGCGGTCGTTCGCCAGTGCAGCCAGACGCCAACGAAGTGGACCACAAAGATGCCGGCCGAGAGGGTTAACGTGATCAGGCCGAGTAGGAATCCGCGCAGCACCGGATCCGACGTCTCGCTGATGTAGACTGTAGTTACCGGGCCGAAAGCTCCTGCAGACAAGCCGGAGATTAGCCTTCCGATTAGCAGGCAAGCGATGTTGTTGGATAGGCCAATTGTCAGCCATCCGATCAAAGACACAGGGAAGAGGACACTCGTGGACCTCTTTCTACCCAACTTCTCCATCAGGAATCCAGATAGCCAGCAGCCCGGCGTCATTAAGAGGATCGTCGACGACGCAATCCAAGATTCCTCGTCGATGCTGGACACCGTGATATCGCTGTCAGAAGTGAAATTCGTCGATGTACGATTGTGCCTCGAAGTCGGCGAGTTCAGCTGAGGTAGCAGCACAGCGCTGTACCCTGACGAAAGGCCCGCCACGAAGACACCTAGCAGGGGGCAGAGAGCTGTCATCAGCTGCCTGATATGAAGCCTCAGCTCGGGCTCCTCTTTTTTGCTGACATTCTTCTCCATAGTCCAACGGATCGATTCACACTCCGCGAGCTGTGAAACCCTACTGACATGTCTCGTCAAAGCTCTTCCTTATCACCGCGCGGTATTCCCCGAGCGCGCGCGTCTCCCGGAAGCGTTGTGGATCGGTTTTTGCCTGACTGAAATCTAATATTGCACGAACGTTGCTCATGAGAAAACCAAATAGCTGCGTAATCGATTCAAATTATAGCCAAGTGTTCTTCTCGCACGTACTGATTGCGGAATAAAGTGGACTTTCTCCTTTGTTATCTTATCAATTTATTTAGATTAAGCCTTTAGACAGGTGGGAAGAAATTTGGGAGATGATTAGATATGCAATCGTACCTGATAAGTATGAATATGAAGGTGAACCGAAGGAGGTCGTAAATTCTCTTCGGAGGATTGTTTTATAACCCTTCACTCCTGGCGAGCCGTTTTACCTCTTCCACGGCATGAATAACCAATCAGGATAACTTTATTGCTGACACTGTGGGGACACGTCGTGTAATCTTAATCTCAGCTAAGCAAAAAGACGAATTATTCGGATCACGGTGACGTATCTATGTAAATTTTGCTTACTCGGAGGTTGAATCGCATGATGATGCTAAGTATGAAAGATTTTATAATTATATTAGATGTTGATTAATAGAATGATGATAGATGAAGAATTAATATTAGAGGAATATGTTTCTCGATATTTATTCTTTATTTACTTCCGTGGTCGAATATTTCACTGAAATAATTGTTTTACACGAACGCGTTTCTTACGAGAATTAAAACGCAGAGCACCAAATATTTCCCCCGTTGCTGATGTTGTTATAGAGTTCGCAGTGTTTTCGAAACAAGATAGTGGAATCGTTTTTCAGCATTGAATTTCACAAATCTCGATGTCAATTGCGTCACGTTTCAGCTGAAACGGTACGGACAGTCTCGAGTCTGTTTTCTGCATTTTCATTCAACTCTCAGATATAGAATTTCGTTATCGCTGAACTTTTGTGACCCGTGACAGATTCGTCTTTTATACAGCATGCAACAATGCCTCGGATTGTCGAAGTATCCAAGTGTGTCGACTCTCTTTCATTCGGTCAAAATGGAACAAATCTTCGTCCGGTTTACAGGAGTACAAAAATTATTTAAACCCTTTCCGAACGAAAATACGTACACACAGTATGAAGCAGATCGATTGTATATCTTGGAAACATCTAAAAATTCATTCAAAAAATTTCTACAAAATTCTGTTACACGACGATGTTACATCACCCACATAGCTCGATATTCAAACTTCAATGATCAGAAGTCCCAATTACCGTACACAAAAATTACTAAAAATATAAAACGAAGTTAGCGTATAGTAGCTCGAGGCTTAGGGGTTGTTAAGGCGAATGGCTCGATCAATTTCATCCCGACTAGCCGGCAGTTTTTGGAGTTCGGTGGCCGTTTAAAATTCCGTGGCCCCGCAAGCCGGGGAGTCAATAAAAATCAAGAAATCAGCTGGGTAAACAGGAAGCCCCAGTCGACTCCTCTCAATTCCATTACCGGCCTTCAGCTCTTTGATGCCTGGCAAATATGCCGTGGCGGTGCGCACTTCTTTCCCTTGGCCAGTTTCCTCCCGAAAACCCTCCGCGCCGCCTTCCACCACCGTTTTTCCCATTCGCCGGCGTAGAAACGCGCCTTTTAATGCGCAAGACTCTCCAAAGTCTCGTTACCATGTGAGTCTCTCTCTCCACGCGCGAGCGACAAAAAGGCCTTTTTAACAGTGCACGCCTTTATGAGAACATACGAGCAGAATCGCGAGGAGCGCCGGCTCTCCTGGGTGTGTTTCGACGTGCTTGAAAAGAGCAAACCGGATAAAGCACGGCCAGGAAACTAGTTTCTTCTCATTTGGACGGGGGCGGTTCCTGGAGGACCAACGCGGAAGGACGCGTCCCACCGACGTCGCATAATAAACTTCTTCTGCGATCCCGGGGAGACATTTTTGTTCGCCGAACGCACTCGTATCATTTGCTCGTGGTTGAACTTCAGACTGCAACCGTAAGGAGCTGCGTGTGACCAAGAACGATAGAAATAGGATATTTGCAGCAGAAATTAGGTTCATTAAGTATTCGTATAGCTCTGTCGATAGTCCTTGAAAGTCTCGATGAAAAGCGTCGGAAAATGCTGTACATATTGCGATTTATGCGAGATAAAAACAGCGTTCATTGGACTACAGTCAAGTAAATTCTATATGCTACAGATTACAAAGTTAACAAAACAAATAAAATTTTAGATATCTCCATCTACTCGTAACACTCTACAACAAAACACTAATCCAGGTACCAACTACAAACTCATAGCAGAAACTAGGTTTATTAAATGTTCGTATAGCTTCGACAGTCCTTGAAAGTCTCGATGAAAAGCTTCTGGAAATGCTATACATATTGCGATTTATGTAAGACAAAAACAGCGTTCATTGGACTACAGTTACGTCAAGTAAATTCCATATGCTGCAGATTACAAAGTTAACGAAACAAACTGAATTTTAGATATCATCTCCATCTACTCGTACCATTCTACAATAAAACCATTCATTCACCGGGTACCAACGCTACAAACCTACAAAACCCTCCTTCCCCATTCCACAAACACCGCGAGTAATGGAAACTAGCAACGATCATTAACCACGCATCGATTGCAGAGGCACAAAGCGGGCACAGAGAAACAAAACAAACAGAGCTCGTGGAAAGCGTCGATACACCGTAAAATCTCGTTACGCCCCTAACACACCGTGCCCCGTGATTCACGCGGGGCTGCGGCTCGCGAGTATAATGCGAGGCACGTCGCTTTATTAGTCCTCCCTGGAGGGAAAGGGGGCGTAACGCCGAGTTTTCCGCCCTGCTTCGACCCTGTTCCCTGGCAAAGGGTGCGTAAAAGTGGCTGGCACGGGGGTACTTGAGGCGCGCGCGCGAGCGGCCCAGGTGAAATCTCATGGCACGGGGCAAACCCGCAAGAGAAAGATTGATGCGGCTGGAACGAAGGGAAAAACAACTCGCGTGGGATGCGTTTGTTCGGGGGCCCCGCCCCGGCGAAGATAAAGGATACGGCCGGAGAAAGGAAAGTTCCAGGAGCCAAGCAAATGGTGCACCGCGTAAAAGCGGACGTGTATTGTACACGGGGATCCTGGATGGGGTCGCCAACCTTCGGGAGTGTAATCTACTCGACTGGAGGGTGAAATAAGGCTCTCTGTTTACCGGGAGCAGAAACGCGGCAAAAATGAACACGCCGCGCTCCGCCATGATACTCGTCGCAGTAACACTGATGCGTTCAATCATCCAGATTATTCTTGGATGCGCCACGCCGACGCGTGACTTATTGTTTTCCCGACACTGACTGATATCACCCTCGGACGACGGTGATTGGTTTTCTTTCGAAGAATGGATCATCCGAGCAATTAGTTCCGTTTTTGTATACCTGCAGAAGTTCGTGTAGGATTGCGATAGGCAGTGATTGCAGGAATGTAATGTGTTCTCTGAGATATTAAGCAATGCAGTTTCTATCTATAGTTATTATATTTATAGTTATATTATAGTTGATGTGATAATGACTGCAGGAATATAATATATGCTTTGATATATTAATTACAATAATTAAACTGTGATAGCTCTTTATATCGATAGTAACAATTGTTGGAAGTTCGGATGCAATGGAAGAATTGCAATGAATGTTTTGAAGTTTATGACGATTAATGTCCGACCTCTACGGAAATCCTCGCACGAATCCGCGATCGAAGGAGTTGTCGAGTCACGAGTACGGTATCAATTTTTTATAACGGTACACCGGAGCCGCGTGATCTCATAAAATATCGTCGCGCGCGGTGTGGGGGCGTGTTTCGCGGGGCTGAATGCACGATCCTTTCTCAAAGTGAGCAGAATACGCTTTCAAAAATTTCGAGTCAGCCGGTGAACGGAGTTACTGACGGAAGGGAAAGCTTTCTGCCGAGAAAGCCTTCCTCTCGTCGACGATTGAACGCGCCGCTTTTTGTCGCGGTGCGGTTATAACCCCGTGGAAGCGCCATGGAAAAGCGTCGCCGGTAGAGAGGGGCGGGTGTAAAATTGATGTATGAGACACGATGATCAATGGAGGTCTTCGAAATAAACTGCGCAAGGGTCTACACATGTAGGGGTGGCGCGAGTTGAAAAATGCGAGCGTTTCGAGCCGAGATTGGAACTCCTGGCTCTTACCGTGGTTTCGCGAAAAAAAAACCTCCTTTTCTCGTCCTCCATCTCGAAATCCGAAATAAACGGGGAAAAACACGAATTCGAAAATACCACGGAAAAATCGTCCGACGTGTTCGACTCGCTTCCGAAAACCTGGTTTTGCGGGGTGTTCTATACACGCCGAATTCGATACAACGGTTCAGAAAATGTTTCCCTGTTTTCTGAAATACAATTCGCCGGTGAAAATAGAAGCCTTGCCCGACCGAATTCCATTTATTGCATCGACATTTTTTACGCAACAAGCGACCCGCTGAACTCCCGTCGAGCTTATCAGCGGAATAAAACTATTTTCGCGTAACATAATATCCTAGCGAAAACAATTCAATCGGACTCGCCCGGTCGGTGCAGTTCGAAAACAACATGAGACCGGAAAAATATGATCCCGGCAATGCCGCCGGGAAGAATATAGCTCGCGGTGCAATCGATATTCCGCGATTAAGGTCGGAGCCGGGATAATTGGAAAGACCTGGCCGGTAATCAGATCAGGCATGCTTTCGCATTATACTGCCTCGCAACTTAAAACTTACGAACAGCAATAAGAAGCTAGAAAATTCTAAAATAACCGTTAATACATACTCGAGGCGAATAAAAAGGAAATTTGTTCGTATAGAATTAAATATCGCACCCCGTTACAATCCTAGTAACAAACTGTTTCTGGCGCGATACGGAAACCTTCAAAAATTCTACATTTGTTACGAATTTATATGTAAAGTCCAACACTGGCTAATTCCCGATAATATCGTCTCTCTGGAAAAGAAACCAGGTTATAGAGATTTCAC